GGGGTCGGCATCTGAAAGCTCCGGCTCCAGGAAGGTGCAAACTTTCCGACTGAAGAGTGAGGTTTTCCCCACCTCGAGTCAGAGTGTGCTCTGGGCAAGGTGCTGCCTTGGGAAACCAGGGCCCGAGTGACCAAGGCTGCTGCCGACAGCCGCAACCTGGGGTTGCACTGAACAGACTCGATTATTTGACACACACGGAGGAAAAAAGTAGATTTGTTGTTGAAGAACCAAGTTAATAATGTGGTGGGAGTGAGAAAAAGCGAGAGGTGCAAAGGAGTTACTGGTTACTTATGAGCTGGTTTTCATTCAGAGGTATTTGAGCCTTTTGTAGAGATAAGTTAGAGAAGCAATACATCAGGGGAAGGATTTGCTAAAATGGCAATAAAAATGAAAGAGAGTTGAGCATACTCCTTTGAGAACATCACTACAAATTACTGTGCTGAAGAGCTAGGTAAAACATCAGTTTCCTCAAGGACTGTTTAAAACAAGGCAAGTTCAAAACACACAAGTTCTTGGGGGAAAAATCAGAAATAGTGAGAAAAACAAAAAGAACTATTTACTCTTTTACCCCAAACTTAGCTGAGTTCTCATAAACAGATTTTTAACATAGTACAGCTCAGCCTCTCTACAGTTCATGTAGATGCACATCCAGAATCAATGTCCTCTGCCACCATTTTTAATTATATGAGGTGAATGCAGCGGCAAATCACACATTTATCTGACACTGGTCATCTCCAAGGACCCCACAGGACTTCAGAATGTAGGAAGATTATGATGCAAAATGAGTTTTGCTCATTTATACACATAGGTTGCAACACATGTAAAGGTAACCACTTCTAGTGAAACAAGTACAGGTCAGCTACCCAGAGTACAGTTGGATAATTATTTGCATAGATCAACAGCTCATCTTCCCTAAAAGCTTTTCCTTTCTCTTCCTTTTCCCGTGAAGGAAGGACAAGAGTTCTGCTTAGAACTCCCTGAAACACTAAACAATCATGCAAAATATCATTTTGATCTTCAAAAAAACATCTGGCTTCATACGAATCAGAAAGAAAAAAAAAACAGAACAATTAAGTTTAATTAATATTTTCAAAATAATATTTTTAGGGCTTTTAAGGAGCCATAAACTCTGCTTGACCATGGAGTGAAGATCATCCAGACCCAACCTTTGCTACTGATAAGGTTTTCTTTCTCAGCACTGCCTTAAACAATTCAAAGGAAAGAGAACCTCTGCTTAAGAACTGAAAATCTGTCTCTGTCTGAAGCACAGAAGTACTTATTATCCCATTTTCCTGTGGGCAGCAGGTGAAAGATCCCTATTCCAGCATCCAGGTTTATTCAAGTGCTACCACATGCCTGTTTTCCCCTGGACAACAGGATAATGAGCAATACCAACCATGCAAAAATTTTACTTTCCTTTAAGAGGCAAGAGCTCCTAGAAGGATTATTGAAAATAATGCTGGGAGAGATCTCAAAGAATCATCTAGTTCATCTCTCCTGTCCCGAGCAGAATTCAAATATATCCACATGCTTCCTAGCAGATGTTTGCCTAAAAACATGCAAAGATGGAGATTTTTACTCCTTTGGACAGGACATGCTGCCATGGGGTGAACTCGGACAGAGCTACGTTTGTGTTTGGATTGCCACCTCTATCTCAATCACATCCATGAGCTCTTTACACAGGAGCAATCACTGCCTCTCCTAATGGACAATCTCTTCCAAAGCCTTGACTGGAGCAGGTAGGTACAAATAAGCACCTGTCCCTCAACTTTGGTGGAAAAGAGTTGGAGATCAATTATGTCTACCCCTCTCATGCAGTTTCAGTGACTAGGTGGACCTGCAAGATGGTAAGTGCATGCAAACTGCAGCTTTGTCCTTGCTATGCAGGATTTCCTTGCTGTTCTCAGTGACTTGACATCTAGAAGATACTCACAGTCACACTCAATTTATATCCCTAAAATAGAAGCCTGAGTTTCTCTATAGTTAACAGCAAGCTGTAGTCTCCTCCCAAGAATGACTCAGAACACATAAACTGGGAGCCTACACTTCTCCATGTGACATTAGATGGTCTCTGAAGTTGGATGGTGTGAACATTACATGGCATGTGTGGCTTATCTCTTCCTCCCCCAGGCAAACAAAGTAGATGCCCTCTTCCTTGGGGCCCATCTAGCCAGACGTTTTGATTAACCTTCTCTCATCATACTTGGAGTCCACAGCTGGTGTGGAGTCTTGTGCACTAGCTCTCAGGGCTAGACATATGAAGAAGAGGAAGCAGCATCAGAAAGATAAACCACAAGATAAGGCCTGGAGGATATGAGATCTGCTGCTCTGTAGCTTCAGAGCACCCAAAAGAAGAAACTTGCATGCAAAAGGCAGTTTTCAAAAATAAGTATTGCAAGCCAACGCCATTGCTTCAAAAACTAGCCAAAATCTTTTCCTCCAGAAGGCAAAGCTGGAGGGTTGATCCCATGGAAATTTTTTTTTAATCAGATTTTTTTTTAAAGAGATTGTATTTTAGAAAAGGCAATCAAAATAGTGTAAAAGCAATATTTCAAAAGTGATTGTAAAATGTATGGGACATGAATGGGACATTCAGCCTTGGTGGGCTTCTCCTATTCATTGCAAACTTGGCTTCTGAACAGTTAAGTCCAAGAGTTTCAGACACAGAAGTGGATTCAAGGAAGCTTCTATGGAGAGTTCCAACACTGCTGTTCCTATTCTGAGGCTGAACACAGACATTGTTGAAAACAATTAAATTTCATTTCCTTGCAAGCAGTTGTCTTGAACTCATACGGGCTTTCCTCAACACAGTATCTACCTTTTAAAAATCTTTCTTGTTTCATTTTCTCTGTTTCTGTACTGTTTGCATCTGACAAGAACACAAAAGTTAAAATTCACCGAGAGGAATAAAGAAAAATAAAAAAAGAAACCTTGAAGCCAAATAACTTGTGACGTGAAAGCTTTCGATTTTACCAGCCTTCCCACGTTTCAGATGTCATAAAGCATACAGGTGCAATTATCTGATTGCTCAGCACCCATATGAGCCTTGTTATGTTAAAGGGAACACAAATCCAATGAATATTTCCAGGCTTATAATAAACCTTCATAAAGAAACTGTCCATATTTTCTCCACATGCAGGCACAGCTGTGCAGAGACACATCTGCTTGGGAAACTAATGTGGATCTTTGCATTTATAGTTTAAGATCCTTAAGCTTGATGGTGAATTATGAAAAAACTAGGAATATCAGTTACTGTCTCCAACAGAAAATACAAATCCCTCCTTGATTTATATTGATTACAGGAAGGAAACAAAGCACTTCTATTTCCCCATGTCACGAGAAACTCCTTCACTGCAATAAACATCCGGTTGATAGGAACATCTTGAGAAGGTAAATGATACTATATTTGTAAGCAAAATGAGAAAAAAGCGAGTGCTGATTGGCCATATAGTTCATGCATATATTAAGATATGTCAAATGTGATTGCTATTTATTATTATCCTGCATCCTTTACTCAAATATCCAGCCCATACATGCAAGTCCAGCTCAACCAAAGTAAACAAATCCATTGATTTAACCATTAATGGCTTGATTTTAAAAGGGGGTTAGCCTGCAGGGGAATATCTGACATATGTTTGAAGTTAAGCACAAATCAACGCAGTGAAATTAGTGGTATTGATCACATGCTTAAAATTAAACATAAACTTCAATATTTTCCTAATTCAGGTCTCCCATAGCAAGTTCTGAGTGTGACAGAAACATCTGTAGGATGCATCCCAACTTGTCTTAACGAAAGCTGTAGCTGTGGCTGACCTGTACAGTTGCCATACAGCATTACCAGCAGTATCGCCCAGACCCCTTGCAACCCCAGCCAAAAGCCTGGCTTTCCTTCCCAGATGACACTCACTGAAATGAGGAGGAAATGAATGAAAAGACTGATGTGGCCCCACATGGTTACAGCGCAGCTACTCTGACATTATTTTACATTAGCCTTTGAAAGGTGGAGGAAAAGCCCTTCTCCCTCCGCAACTGTGTTACCACAGATGACAGGCAGAACTGCATGCAAGGTGGGACACGGTGTCAGCAAGTTACATATAAACCAGGCACTGGATTGAAATGGATGTACTGAGAGCTTGAAGTACACACAGGTGAAATTTTCTGACCTAAATTTAAAATTAGAAGTTCTTCCACATAACCAGAGGAAATAAATAAACAAAAAGACTAAAATTGCTAAGGAAAAAGCAAATGCATGGAAGACATTTCTAGCAAAAGGAAGCTGTTAACTTTGGGGAAATTCCAGTTTAAAATCCCTATCTGCCTAATCCAGTTGCCACTGAGGTTAATGAAGGTTGCTTTGCCTTTCTTTAAACCTCAAGTGAAAGTGACAGAGCCACGTAGAGTTTGGCTGTACAGACTGGAGAGGAGCTGAGATTATAGAGAATCAGAAACACAGCAGAAACTCTGCTGCATGAACTTGCTCTGGGAGAACCTGAGGGAGCAGGGCTCCAAAACCCTCATTCACCACAGGCAGGAGGACATGGTACCACAGATCTAACACAATCTGCTAGTTACTTGAAATCTTAGATTGGTAGGTCACTCAGCTACACTGAGTTTGAAAGGCAGCCTTGATGTTCATACATTTTCAACCTCACAAAAATCCCTAGTTTACACAGAAGAGTCTGTTGCCACGATTAAATGGGCTCAGGGTGGAATTCTGGACAGCTGGGCATCTTATGACAGAGCTGGGTTGCAGGAGGTTTGACATATAGATCAGCAAAGGTGGCAAATATTTTGCCTAAGTTCCTGAGCTTTCACAAGCTAATGCAAACTGGCTTTCCAAATGTCTAGGACTTCACCACAGTTCAACTTCAGACACTTTATGCACATCTACCTGCACACCCAGGTTCACCCTTCTCTTTCAGGGTCAGCTCCCAGTAAGACTTTCAGAAATGAACTCCCCCGGCTCCCTCTCCTCTAGGAAGTTGTTCTCAGGCCCTTACCTGGACGACAGGGTGACCTCCAGTCGGTGCCTTGACAGCCCCTCGGCTTCCTTCTGTCTCATAGTGTGCCCGGTGGTGGGGCTTCGGCTGCACCTCGATCCGCAGCTCGTAGGAGCCAGACTGGCTGGAGAGCGGCCACTCAAGGGGCGGAAGCGACTGGACGGGCAAACTGGGCAGAGAGAGACCACACCAGCTGAGACTCTTTAGCATTTTATTTCTCAAAGCCCTGATCCCTTCTTCTCCCAAGTGCCCCACTGGGGCTGCTCTCACTAAAATGTTCAGGAGCCTGCTATTAACTTCAATGAGAATGTGCTGTCCTGCTCAGGTTTAGTTACAAACTCTACTGAACTTCAGGATGAACACAGTCATTTCTGTGGGCCCATCTCCTTGCAGGAGATAATAGAATCTTTATATTTCCTAAATAGAAATATCTGCAGCAGTTATACCTTTTTCAAAGATCCCCCTCTTTTATCTAGCTTTGCCATGCATCTGAAATATTAACTCCATTTATCATTACTTACCAGTTGCATAGATTAGTAATATTTGATTTCCATAAATATTAAAATGCACATGAATAAAATGCTAAATACCTTACCTGATACTAGTTTACCTCTTATCAAAATACACAAGAGTTTATAACATGAAATTAATACATTGAAATGTACCGCTACAGCTTGCACCCGATTTTAAACAACTCTTATTTTATTAGCACAAACTGCTGCCAGGACCAATCTAACAAGCCAACGAAAGTAACAGCCAGGTTCTTTCACTCCTAATTTGTGTTTAGCAGGTCAGGAGCAGGATGGGATAATGTCAGCATGGGGACAACCTTGCAGGGCTGACAGGGTGCCAGTAGTGACTGCAAGTGGAGTCATACATCTGTCCTGGCAGATGTGCACAACTCAGGGCCCAGATCTGCGTGCCACCAGTGCTAGATTACAGAGGGAGTTGATGAAGGTACTGCCAACAGCTGAGACTTGGGTTAAACAACAATTAACAAATTAACAATCAACACTAAGTTACTTGGGGTTGACCAACTGCTCAGTCTGACTTGGAGCAGTGCATTCTATTTTAAACCAGGAAATATTTAACATATTTTTATCCCTGGTGTAAATTTGTAAGTGTGACATTCTCTGAATTTAGAAAAGGAATCAGACTATCTTCTTTAAAAGCTGCAAGGTGTAATGAGAGTGTTTAGCCTTTGTCAAAGGCTGTTTGCAATCTGCTTTTTAGATAAATAATTTGGAAATATGAATTTGTCACATGCTATGCTATCAATGACCCACTTTGACGACGTTTCTTCCAAATACACATTTTTCTCATCTCTCGGACTTGTAATGGATTGGGCAGTGCTGTCACTGAGCACTTAGCTCTGGTCTGCAGCAGGATCAGCCCAAGGAAACCCTCCTTAGGGATCGTCATGCATAACAGAGGACATCATGCCATGAGAAAGCACACAACTACAAGACGCATTACATACCTGCAGATAGGTATTGCAGGCACCAGTTGCTTTGTCCAGGATGGAGGTACCAACAAAATTGATTCTGGGGCTGAGTTTCTCCTGTCCTCCTGCTCACAAGGCCTGTGGAAGTCAACAGTCTGAAAGACGTGACACGGAATGCTGTTTTTGTGGGAAGGCATTGATGAAGGATCAGGGCTGGTTTTCCAAATTTTCGTGGGAACACCACAGGAAGGATCCGTAGGAAGGCTGTTCATAGCATCCATGGAAAGAGAAGCGCTGGGCAACTGTGTGTAAGTAACTGAAGAGTTGTCTTCTCTCAAGGAGATGTGAGGAGAAGACTGTGGAGAGGGGGTCCTTGACTGTCGTGGAGAAGTAGAAGGCAGCTGAGTACTGTAGAGCTCAGTGCAAGAGTACCTCCGTTTTGCACCTGGTGATGAAGACCTTGAGTTGGGACAGGGTGATGGTGAATGTCGTCCCAAGCAGGTTTCCTCCGTGATGCTTGTTCGTGGTGACATTATTGGAGAGGTTCTAGGAGAATAATGAGTATGGATGTTTTGAAACTGTGGACAAAGGTCATCACTAGGACCATTATTTGGTGAAACACATGGTGATGTGCAAGGAGATACATTTGTCTCTGAAATGAAACTTGCAGAGGAGCCGCTACTAGCTGGGCTCAAACACAGTGGTTCTCTGTAGCCCTCAAAGCCAGGGACAGGCAGGGTAACCCTTGGGCTAGTGGTAGCTGAGTTTGACTGATGTTCTACCAAAAGAACATCTGTGTCTCTGCTGCGGAAGGGACCCCCTGAATGAATCAGTTCATGATATGGAGTAATTTCAATCCTAGGGCTTGGAGCAGAGGCCCCTGCAGCGTTGGCAGGGTGCGCAGGTGTTGTCCCTATGCTATCTGGCTGTCCATATCTGCCCATGGGATCTGCAGAAAGGCTAGAAAAAGGCAGGGGGCATGGCTTGAGGCCACAGTCCAGGACATCATGAGCGTATGTAACTCCAGAGGGTGGGCTGTTGGTTTTATGTGGAGTCGGTTCTTCTGGAAAAAGAAGGGTCTCTTTAAGACTATAAATATTATTACAGAAGCTGAGCAATCACGGATTAAAAAAAAAAAAAAAAGCATATTTATAAAATGGTTGTGATCTGATATTAAGTAAATGTTTAATTCTTCTTAAGCTCAATTAAGGCTTGTGAAAAGTACTGGATTAACAGCCAGGGAAGCTCAAGTGCTCAGAGCAGATGCAGCATGGGCAGAAGCACTGCAAACATCTCCACACCGCCCGGCCGGGCTCCCACTACCTGAGCCCTGAGCTACAGGGATCACCTGGAAGGATCCATGCCACCTCAGCCTCTCCACCCATTTCAATGCCGGCCTTCCTGCTCTTTCTGTCAAATATGCCCCTTAGCACCAATTGGGGTCTTGTGACTTTGGTCAGCTTTTGTCAACTAGGAGCTGGACTGACTCTGTCACATCACAAACTGCTTCCAAACAGGTCTACATAAAATCAAAAGGTTGAGGAACAGTTTTTGGTGAAGGGAGAAACCCCCTTCTTCTTACACAGTGAAGTCCAGCCAGAAAAACCTTCATGAAACCAAAGCTGAGCTCAACCTCTTAAATTAAAAAGTCAGTTCTGTGTGATGATTTGTTTGGCTCCATATCAGGTCAACAATTTTAGTGACAAATTTCACAAGAAAGCACCACATGATCAGAAAACATATTCAGAAATATTTCTTAGAAAAGAGAGATAGAAAGGATTCAGTCACATCGTTACAAGCAATCACCTTCCAATTTCAGTTCAAGGAACATTTTGGCCAGGGTGGGATTTTAAAATACAGAACAACAGCTAAGTGTTCAGTGCAACCCACTCTCTTGGTGCAAAAAAAATCCTCAATTTTCAAAGATTCTAAGGCTTGCAAATTGTCCCCAGGCTGCAGAGCATCAGGATGCTTCTAGGCAATACAGAATTCCCAACAGCCATCACTGAGCCAAGTTCTGATCTGATCCCAGCACTCCATCGAGTGCTTAATGCCAACAGCATCTGAGAGAGCAGAGTCATGCCAGGTATTCCCAGGACAAACCCCTCAGCATACATCAGCTCCTGCACCTGCCCCAGCATAGGAGCTGAATAATATTAGTCGCTACACAAAAGCATGCAGAATACTATCAGGATTTTTAAAGACTTCAATGTATCCAGCAGGAAATACCTGAAAACAGCTCCACAGTTTGAGACTTATTTGCACTATCTGCTCACCCTTGGGCACAGATCAGTATGTCCCATAGGCAAAGAGGGTTTTATTTAAATACTTAAAATAACTGTTCCAGCATTTTCTCTAACTCCTACACTATATGAGGCAGGATTTCCCGTGAGCAAATAGTACTATGCTTAAAGCCAGGTAGGAGCTGACTCTGCTTTAAGCAAAAGTAGCAAAAGTTCACAGTGAAACTTTAACACGCAGAGGTTCTGTGATCTAATATCGAGGCGTTCCTGCTCCTTTTCAGTTTTAAACACTTCTTAGTGTGAAAGCAAAACCCTCCACTGATTTTTGACTACTACTTTTTGTGTTGAATGTTTTGCACAACCTGGAGAAAAACTCCACAAAAAGAAAAAATGTAGCAGGAACTGCTGAGCCTTCGTGTTCGGCAGGAAACCCCAACAGCCGACCAAACAAACCAACACACAGAATGCCTATGTGACAGAATGGGAGACGACTGGGATAGTCCAGCCTGCAGATTTCTTAAGGTTCCCTCTGGCTTTTAATCCCAGCACACAGCTGTTTTGGGGATGGGGAAAACAGCAACGAGTAACTGAATTTTGAGCCGAACATATTTTTAGCTTTGGCATTCACAAAATTAGTGTGTCATTCACATCACTCAAACTCTGTTGCATCAAGCCCAGATACTGATGCCGTGATTCACTTAAAATAAAACTCAGCACTCCTTTGGATTCGACGGAGCAACACGCCCCTCCACAGTCACACAAAACATCACTCCCACTCCTTTCAGAAGAGTCACTCCCATTTAAACTGATGTGAGGGAGCAAAATCAGCACCAAACAAAGCCAGGCTTGCTGCCAGGATTTGAGACAGGATCCGCACAGTGACTAGCAATTGCAGAAAAGCTCTCCAGGTTGAACAGCTTCGCACCAATGACCAGATGACGTTTTCAGTTCCCCATTCAACATAACTACAGTAAAAGCTGCCCCCACCATACATGTGAAACTGCGTTACCTGTGCCAGAAACACAGACAAGAGGTAACATATTAAAACTCCTCACAATACATATTGAGCAGCAAAGCTAGCAGGTGCATATTTGTTTTGAGCAGTATGGGAGAAGTAGACACATATTTGTATGTGCATGTGTAATTTTTAAAGTCTTCTGAATAACAAAGACACACCACCACTCATACTTTCTGCCCTTTGAAAACTGGGCTTTAGATAATCTAAAATTTCTTTGCTTTTACCCTGAAATATGGTGTTTAAATGAGCACTTTCATCCTTGGCATTCACTCTCCAAGAGGCTCCACATCCCACATTATTAAGAACAATGTTTACCCACAACAACAAGCTAAGACATGCCCTTGCCTTCTCACAGCACCCTCGCAGAGCACTCCTCCTTTCACAGGCCAGGCAAACCAGGATTGCTCACCCAGCACTGAGGCAGCCCTTTGCCAAGCCGGCAACACCCACAGCCTTCTGCAGAGCAAAAATATTTAGTTTCCCTCCATATGGCAAATTATCAATAAAGCAGGCAGCAGCACAGGAATGTTGAGCAAGGCTGCCGATGAGAAAATGTCGGCTCGTTTGAAGCGCGCTGGGGGAACCGCACTGCACAGGGGCTGTCTTGGACAGGAGAGGAGCTGCCGGCCCTGACTCATCGGCACAGCTTCGTCAGGACCTGGAGCTTGGGGGGTTTGGGGAGATCTCCTGACAGTCCCAGCCCTTCGTAGAACTTCAGAGGTACAATGAAATCACTGTCCCGGGTGCTCTTGCCCACGCCTGTGACGTTAAGGTCTGTGGCCATGGAAATGGCGGTGATGCTACAACACCAGGCTCTGACCTCACCGGGGGAGGGGAAAAGTGCTGCTCTCGGGAAGAAAACAGCTCTTCCACTGAAATCAGAAGAAATTCTGCTTTTTTTTTCAGTAGGAGTGGACTGGCTATCCCACTTCCAGCCAACTTGGCTAAGGCAGGCTGGGGTTTGGAATCTGCTCAAGGAAGGGGCAGACCAGAGCCAACATCCCCAGGCGAGCACCATGGGAGTTCGGTTTATGTAAATAATATCAGGCTCCTGCCTTTGAGATGGGCAGCAGGGATGGGCAAAGGCTGGTTCCTGGCAGCCCAGCTGCTTTCTCTCTGCATTTGCAGAGACCAGCGGGAACGTGCAGCAGCCCAGGGCATGGGAATGGCTCCAAGGAAGATGGCCCCAGCAATACCCACACCTCTCCCTGAGCTGCCAAGGTGAACTTGGCTAGGGTGGCAGGAGCTGAGGACAGCAAACCTCACACCGCTGGGCCTCTACCATGCTGGAGATGCCAGGAAGCAGCTGGGCTCCCCAAGGAGGTGAGAAGCCACTGTACCTCTTACAAGAGAATAATTATGTGATGGATCAGCCTAGAAAAGGTGTTTTTCCAAAACTGAGGCAGCTTTGAAACTTTTGTGCAGATGCTCCAGAGGCACAGCTTTGTACCCAAGGTTGTGCCACATTCAAGGGTTCATCTGTCCCTGCGTATCGCATCCCAGAACACAGTCTGAAATACTCCCACAAAGGACTATCCTCTCCACTGTTTTTCTGATGAACATCTCAGCAAGCAACACAGAAGCTTCAGCATAGCTCCTCCAACACCCTCCTGCATGTGGAGTCACAGTGCTTCCCCGCCTCCTTTCCTGGGGCATTTCCCAGCCCGAGGTTTCACTGCTGAGTCACCCTCTGATTCAGTACCAAAAAATCCTTCTTGTTTGACAGGGGTTTAGAAGAAAGTGAGATTCACACCCAGACAACACTAGCATCTCCTCACGTCCTCAGTCAGGTTTACTGTCAGAAAACAGCTGACTCTCCTGTCACCCACATCCCATGACTATGGAAGTCCTACCTCCAAGCCCCTAGAATCCCACCCAAACTGCCTCCAAGCTGTCTTATTCCCTCCTTTTTTTCCACAGCCTTTACCCAGTTGTTTACCAAACCATCTCTTCCCACAACAGGGAATGGAAACAGGTCTCTGTATCCTACCGTATCACAAACAAACAACAGAACAGCTCACAGAATCACAGAATGTTAGGGGTTGGAAGGGACCTCTGAAGATCATCTAGTCCAACCTTCATCCCAGCATACCTAACCACTACACCATAGCCTCAAGTGCTCTACACACTCACAGGAGTGCTGCAGGCAGCTCCACCAACCACCCAGGAAGCTTACCCAGGTGGGGACCTTCAGGACTGCCATTAGAACTTATTACCTAGAAGAGTTAAAACGCAGATGAAAAAGATCAAGGGATTTCACTCTGAAAATACTTAACCCTTCATTTAGAAAATTCCCTTTTCTCACACCTCTGAAAGGAAAACCCACACCGGGTCCTGCTGGGCTCCAGTGTGTGCAAAGGGCTTTGCAAGGGCTCACCCTCTGCTGTTTTTTAAACAAGGCACTAATTTCAAAGCCATTTAGTCAGTCAAATGTGACCTTGCCAATTAGCATGAAATTAGGGAATAACTGATCACCCCAGCAACTGCATTCCATGATGGGCTTATACAGATCACCATGTAGGAAAAGCTAAAGATAGCTGCGTGTGGGGCAGGGGAGCCAAGGGAGGGCAGGGGCAGAAGTTTGGTTGTGACCTCACACCCGCTTGCTGCAGTGCAGTTCCTGGAATTTCAGTGGAGATCCTTATTTGCATAAGTAAAAAAGCCTTTTCTTTTTTTTTTAAGTAATTTGCTTACTGTCATTTGAAGGGCCCAGTCCAGAGCTTTTCTGCATTTTTCAAAAGCCGAGTTGTCTGTTATTTACTCTGGCTGCTTGGAAGCTCAAAGTGAGAGTTGGTTTCCTGAGTGAAATCTGGTATTCTCTGTTACATGTGAATATTTGTTTCTTCACTGCAGGGCTGCCCCTGAACACTGCCTCCTGTGTTACTGAGCCAGTCACCAGGACTGAGCTGCAAGCATTTTTTTTCCTCCTTTTAATTATTAGGGAGAAAAAGAAGAAACAAGGCAAATCATACAGGCCTTGGCACCTACAAGACGTGGCAATGTCCCTGGGACCCTGTCTATATACGAACAAACACTTAAGAGGAACATTAATATTTATAGAAGCTCCCTACTTCCCCTCTCTATATTACACATACATAGGCCCTGTAGATTCATATCACAAGATGTGATGTAAGAGGATTTTGTCTGCAATCTTATTTAAAGATGGGCTTTGTTTGGATTTTAAGTTCCAAACCACTCAGAATTTACTGATCTGGGAGTTCTATTTGTAGGAGCTAGTTCAAATGCCCATTGACTTTCTGTCAGTCTTCACCACTGAGAAACAAGGATATTCAGCACCTTTCAAGTCTGAAATAAACTAAAACTTGGGACACCACTAGCAATACCTCCCATGTATATCTCTCAAGGGAATACATCTAACACTTTTTTTTTTTTAAAGCAGACAGAAAACATCTTCAACGCCCAGGTGAAATCCCAATTTCAAGCTAACAGCACAAGACGCCTGCTTTGCCCAAACCTCCCAAAGCCGGTTCACCTGGGCACACCTCTGAGTTCAGTCTGCTGAACACAGATGTTTCTGTTTTGCAAATGCTGAGAAGATGACAGCTAAAGTCTGGCAAGTAAACGTAAAAGGAACACAGAAAATGGCACTTTGCACAGCACTCCTGCTTTTGGAAATCATTAGCCTAGAGAGGAATATCTAATATTATTGACTGTAGCATTTTTATTTACCCTTTTTTCCCTTGCTGCTTTTATAGCAGTCCATGTTGCTGTTGTCTCAGGCACACATAAGCACTACTGAATGCCAGCCGCTTTCAATAAGGATATTTCTGGCATTTCCATGGCAACAAGTTGTGATATAGATCCTACTTTTAAAACACAAGCTTAGGTGGATACTGTCAAATCCCAACCCTTTTAAAAAATGTTTATCAGAAATAAACTTTCATCCTAATCCACTCCTAGAGCTCCAAACTTACTTTTTTTTCCCTTTAAAAAAAAAAAAAGGTTTTAAAAAATTCGCTTTTAAAATGTTTATGGAGATTTGTTATTACGGGACTTGTCGTGAGCAGTGGGTGGAGCCGGCCAGACTGAGGAAACCAGAGCCTCTTTCAAACAACCTTTGAGTGTAGGAACCAGACTGAAGAGCTGGGATCCACAGACACTCCTATGGTTTTAGTTCCATTTGAATCCTCCGCTGAAAAGGACTTGTTTTCCCAACTGCAGTTCAGACAAGGCCAGAATCACACATGAACAATGAGCATCATTTACCACCGGCATGTGGATAAAGCCTTTTCTCAAAATTTGAACATTTTCTGTTCTAGTGTAAACACGCTTTAATCTTTTGTACATTAAAGGTCACGGATGTATACTGGATTGCTTACAGACTCTAGATGGTGCCTTTTCAAAGCGAGGGAGAATGTTCTCCACATTACAATGCTAGTATATATGGTTGTGATCTTTTTTTTTTTAATGCTAATGATTTCCATCTTTGGAACAAACAAAATTACTACTAATTATGGTTTCCAGTCATTCAAATGTGGAGAAAGCAGGCTTGAGAAGGAAGTTACTTCTACTACAAGCATACAGTGCTCTGCATTTATGTGGTTTGAAGATTAAACTCTCTACCCCCCACCTACGTACTATTCTATTCTGTGGAACTTCCCACTTAAGGCTTCACAGCAGTACTTTCTACTATAAAGATGTGAAAAAAAACACCAACCCAGCATCTGAAACTTTCACTGAGATTTAACATGTTTTCATTAAAATCACTGACCCTTCCTCATCATGGAATTATTTTAGCATGGTTTGATCTACATTAAACCTTGAAGGAAAATTCAGCTTTGTACATCTGATGACATTAGCCATCCTCGCTTAGCTTTGATGCTGGTGCTCATCTGTGTATTCAAACAAGTAAACAAAGAATAAAACTCAGTAACAACTCTCCATTCACTAATGATACCACAATTCAGGCCTAATAGGTCTCCTTCTCCTGCATCGTCCCCTAGGAACACAACTTCTTTCTTCAAATGCCCTAAAGAAATGCCACATCTTAACTGTGCAGAATTGAAATCCGTACCTTAGAAACAATATCCCAGCAATTTTTTCTTCTGGGTTCTGTCTCTTTTGCCTTTGTCTGATTTACACAAACCCGTATTTTATGAAAGTACTGATTTTTAGTATCATCAGCTGATTGAACTTTCTAAAAGTCAGGGAACACTTGTTACAGTGTGTTTAGTATCACAGACTTGCATGTACTCAGCAAAGGAGAACTATCACTTTTTTCACTCTTTTTTTTTTTTTTTATTTAACTTAAGCTTATGGTGTTTGTACTCAGACTGGAACCAGGATCTCCCCAGCTCTTTGCCATCCAAGCAGGATGGCCAGACCCTTCTCAGGTAACCAAGTCCTTGGGGCTCCCAGACCCGGTGCTCAAGCCGCCTTTTTGAGTTTCCAGAACGCCCTCTAACACAAAGACGATGACGGTCACAAGGAGACCAACCGAGC